TACTACTCTAAAATAACTTGAAGACAAATAAACAATTTATGATTTTTGGTTTATTAGACCGTAGTCTATAGGAATTTGCTCCTGACGTTTCGCTGGCGCACAATCCCAGCATCTTCAGAGTCTTGTTCGCTCGGACCACTGCCTAATGACCCAAAAAACATAAATTTTTGTCTTTCTTCGAATCTTAACGTTAATGAAGATGTTGCAGGTTTTGTTCTATTTATTCAGCCGAACTCTTTTAGATCTGTTCTTCACCCGTAAAACATCAGCATCTTCAATGATTTTTCAATCACGGTCTTCGGCTTCGTCACATTTGAACTCTTGAATTGGCTCTTCTTGATGTTTTTCCTTGGAGTCTTGCTCCAACCGTGTTTTTGAATGTTTACAGAAGAAATACACTTTTCCATCCATGTGCATTTTGCCAGATTTTAAGTATCTTCCATTCATTTCATGAAAGTAACCAATCTTCCACCTTCAAAGGGTCTTAAACAGTCGCAAAATGAAGTCTTTAAGTAAACGTGCCTTTGAAGATGAAGATGCCAGCCATGCGTACTAGCGAAACGTCAGGGTCAAATTATTATTGACGACGGCCGAATGGTCTAATATTTTTGCATTTTTTTTTTTCAAGTGCACTCTTTCTTATCAGTTCCCAGTCTTTCGTCACATTCTTCAGCTTCGCCACTTTTATACTTTCTTGTGTCTCGTTGTCATTTCAACGTCTTTCGTTGTTTTTATTTGCTTCTTTATTACTTCCGTTCGTATTCCTCATAAACGCAAATGATTGTCTTCAAATCGAGCCTGATGTTTTTCCGTTTCCTCAAAGACGAGATACAATTTTTCGCCCCAGGAGTTTCTGCCAGATTTTAAGTACCTTCTATTCCTTCAGCAGCTTAGCTTTCAACTGTTGTGAGTTTTCCTTCTGGAAATTGAAGTCTTAAAGTGAACACAGCTCTGAAGATGCCCGCTGTGCGTGCTAGCCAAACGTCTCGACCAAAAATCGCCAATTTTTCAAACGATGGCAGCCAAGTTTGTTCACTATTGAAGATGTAGCAGAAGTTTTCATTCACCTTAACTAGCTTGTAGCTCAGTTATTTCCCCTTTGCCTGCCGTTTTTTAGTCAAATTCATTCTTTCAATTCAGTTCTCCCTTTGATTCTTCATTATCTTTAATGATTTTTTCACATTCGGACTTTGAAGATTTTTTGTGCTTGCGTTGCTTTTAAAGCATTTCGTGCCCTCTTTGGGACTGCAGTAATTCCATCAGGCCTCTTCCGCTCTAGATTTTAAAAATCTGCATTTTCAAGGATGCGATTCAAATATTTGCCAGAATTTAAAAACCTGGTTGAATCTTCCACGCTTCAGCTGATTTAACGATTTTTTCTTCAACCGCTGCAAATAGAAGATTTGCTCGATTTCCACTAATCAACCAGTAAACCATTCGCCATCCAACGTCCAATGCATTGTTTCTCTAATCAAAAACCCCTGGAAACCGCGAAAACCCCCCAAAAGCTTCAAGCGCTTTAATGCTAATTGATTTTTCCAATTTTAGAGCCTAGGAAGATTATGCCGATCTTCAAAACAGACGAACCAGTCTGTCCCGAAGGAAAACTCTCATGCGGTAATGGTGAGTGCGTGGAAAAGGAACTTTTCTGCAATGGAAAACCCGACTGTAAAGATGAATCTGACGAAAATGCTTGCTGTAAGTATAAATAAATCTCCAGATATACCGGGTGTTTCAATAAGAGTGCAGTCGGTATTTAAATTGTCTTAAGCAGAACTATTAAATGGGAAAAAGTCTACTAAATTCATTGAGGAAGTTGGCGGTGTTTAAATAATGCTCTTGCCATGACGAAACGTATTCTCTTTCTGCACGTTCTGAAAAGTGAAAATCGGTAAAGTTTTGTAAAAGTCTGGTTCAGACTCAACAATAAGGAAAACATTTTTCTTTATTTCTAATTTTCTCAATTTTATCTGATAATTGTTGTTTTAAATGGGTTTTTCTGATTCGTAACTACAAATCCTCAAACGTTCTTATGCACATATTTTACTTCGTTTGGGAGAATTCAAAGACACATTTTGGCTGATTTACATGATAAAATGCAGAACTAATTGGTGGTTTGCATGATGAACTGGCGCTTATCGGGGAATATTAAACTGTCAGTTAAAAACAGCAATAAAATCGAAAAAAAATATTTTTTTTTATTAAAAAGGCTTGATGCCCAAAAAATGCCAAATAGGATCGAGGAACAATCGCGTGTAATTTCCCGGACTTATATCGAAAAGTTTCCTCTATTAACCATTGATTCTACTTGAAAAATTGTAAAAAATCGATTAAATCATGAAGGAAATCGACAGTTTCCGATGAAATAGAGCGAAGATTTCTTTATCGAATGGTCTATAAAACAGCCGTTTATCTGGTCCTTATTTCAACTCGGAGTTTTTTTTGGAAAAACTCTAACGAACTGCACTGGCGAATTTCACATTTAAAATTCAAGCTATTGTCAAAAACCGCCGAAATTTTCGAGAAAATTAAAACTGGTAGAGCTAATAGAGCGTAGCTTTCTGCGCAAAAGAGTATAGAATAAAGTGTCTTATCTGGTCCTCATTTTGAGTGTCTAATTTTTGAAGAAAACTTAAATTGCCGGTGCTGATAGAAAATAACCCGCAGCGGAAATTTAAACATTTGCCAAAAATCGACGAATTTATCTTAAGAAGCAGCACCTGCACAACTAATAGAGCGAATATTTCTCTAACAAAATCTATAAAGCATTCCTCTAGGCAATTTTTTAATCAAAATCTAAACTCCTGAAAATGCTAGGAAATAAATGTGTCATTCACGATTAAAAAGCGCAAAAAATGTATTTAAAATACGAGGAAGTTCAAATTTTCACAACTGATCGAGTGACGCTTTCTTGATCAAACAGTTAAGAATTTAATGATCAACTCGATCCAGATTTTGACTAGTAATTTTTTGAAAAACTCCTAACCTGTCGATTGACATCGAAAGGAAATTGCGCCATCCCAACTTAATCAATTGGTACAAATCGCCTAAATTCTCGAGAAAATCGATTGTTGCTGATGAAATAGAGTGAAAACTTGTCTTTCAAATGCTCTATAAGCCAATCGTCCTACAAGTTCTGATTTTGTCTGGTGAATTAAAAAAAAACAACATGCCAGTTGTCATCGAAAGAAAATTGCGCCATCCAAACTTAAACATTTGGCAAAAATCGCCGAGATGCTCAAGAAAATCGATATAATTCAACCGAATAGAGTGAAAACTTTCCTATAAAATGGTCAAGAAGCCAATCATCTAGCTACTTCTGATTTTGAGTGGTGATTTTTTTAAGAAACCCCAAACCTCCCGCCTGCTTTCCCAAAGCAATCCGCAGCATTCAAACTTAAACAATTGGCAAAAATCAATAAGCGCAAATAGAGCGAAAATTCCTCTAACCAATCTTCCATAAAACAATCCTACTTTTGGGGAACTCCCATCGATAACAAAGTTAGTCGCAATGGCCAGCAGGAGGCGCCGATCTAACTCCCATTGATTATTCTTAGGCATGCAGTTAACCAATTTCCAAGCACTATCATTGTCAGTCATTTACGTTTAGAAAATCGCCAAAAATGTATTTAAAATACGAGAAAGTTTAAATTTTTAAGGCTAATCGAGTGAAGCTTTCTTGATCAAACAGTTAAGGATTCAATGATCAACCCGATCCAGATTTTGACTAGTAATTTTTTCAAAAGCTCCTAACCTGCCGATTGACATCGAAAGGAAATTGCTCCAGCCCAACTTAATCAATTGTTTCAAATAGCCTATATTCTCGATAAAATCGATTGTTGCTGATGAAACAGAGTGAAAACTTGTCTATGAAATGCTCTATAAGCCAATCATCCAACTAGTTCTGATTTTGTCTGGTGATTTTTTTTTAAACCCCAACATGCCAGTTCTCGTCGAAAGAAAATTGGGCCATCCAAACTTAAACATTTGGCAAAAATCGCCAAATTGCTCAAGGAAATCGATATAATTCGACCAAATAGAGTGAAAACTTTCCTATAAAATGGTCAAAAAGCCAATCATCTTAGCTTCTTCTGATTTTGAGTGGTGAATTTTTTAAGAAACCCCAAATCTGCCGCCTGCTTTCCCAAAGCAATCCGCAGCATTCAAACTTAAACAATTGGCAAACATCAATAGGCGCAAATAAAGCGAAAATTCCTTTAGCCAATCTTCCATAAAACAATCCTTCTTTTGAAGAACTCCCCTCGATAGAAATGTTAGTCATACTGGCCAACAGGAGGCGCCGATCTAACTCCCATTGATTATTCTTAGGCATGCATTTAACCAATTTCCAAGCGCTATCATTGTCAGTCATTTACGTTTAAAAAATCGCCAAAAATGTATTTAAAATACGACAAAGTTCAAATTTTTAAGGCTAATCGAGTGAAGCTTTCTTGATCAAAGAGTTAAGGCTTCAATGATCAACCCGACCCAGATTTTGACTAGTAATTTTTTGAAAAGGTCTTAACCTGCCGATTGACATCGAAAGGAAATTGCTCCAGCCCACCTTAATCAATTGGTACAAATCGCCTAAATTCTCGATAAAATCGATTGTTGCTGATGAAATAGAGTGAAAACTTGTCTATGAAATGCCCTATAAGCAAATCATCCAACTAGTTCTGATTTTGTCTGGTGATTTTTTTTGAAACCCCAACATGCCAGTTGTGATCGAAAGAAAATTGCGCCATTCAAACTTAAATATTTGGCAAAAATCGCCGAAATGCTCAAGAAAATCGATATAATTCGACCGAATAGAGTGAAAACTTTCCTATGAAATGGTCAAGAAGCCAATCATCTGGCTTCTTCTAATCTTGAGTGGTGAATTTTTTAAGAAACCCCAAACCTCCCGCCTGCTTTCCCAAAGCAATCCGCAGCATTCAAACTTAAACAATTGGCAAAAATCAATAGGCGCAAATAGAGCGAAAATTCCTCTAGCCAATCTTTCTTTTGGGGAACTCCCCTTAATGGAAAAGTCAGCGTTGGCCAGCAGGAGGCGCCGATCTAAGTCCCATTGATTATTCTTAGGCGTACATTTAATCAATTTCCAAGCACTATCATTGCCTAAAAACCACAGCCATTTCCTCCTCAATGTATCCCCGCTCGCATAACCCACATCACCATCACTTGAAATGATCATCTCTTTTTCCTGCAGCTGTCGAGACTGACCCGAACCGAGCTCCAGATTGCGACACCACCCAATGCACGCTTCCCGACTGCTTCTGTTCAGCTGATGGAACCCGAATTCCTGGCGCTTTGGAACCCGCCAATGTGCCCCAGATGATCACCATCACCTTCAACGGCGCTGTTAATGTGGACAACATCGATCTGTACGACGAAGTCTTCAACGGGCAAAGAGCCAACCCGAACGGGTGCCAAATCAGAGGAACCTTCTTCGTGTCGCACAAGTACACCAACTATTCAGCTGTGCAGGAGTTGCACAGGAAAGGCCATGAGATCGCCGTGTTTTCCTTGACGCACAAAGAGGACCCGAACTATTGGTCGCAAGGCTCTTATGATGATTGGCTGGCTGAAATGGCTGGCGCTCGATTGATTATCGAACGGTTTGCCAATTTGAGTGATGGTTCCATTATTGGGGTGCGAGCTCCGTACCTGCGAGTGGGAGGAAACCGGCAATTTGAGATGATGGCCGATCAGTTCTTTGTCTACGATGCCTCCATTACAGCCTCTTTGGGACGAGTCCCCATCTGGCCCTACACTTTGTACTTCCGCATGCCCCACAAATGTAATGGAAACGCCCACAATTGCCCGTCCAGGTCCCATCCAGTGTGGGAGATTGTGATGAACGAGCTGGATAGGAGGGACGATCCAACCTTCGATGAATCCCTGCCCGGTTGCCACATGGTGGATTCCTGCTCCAATATCCAGACTGGGGATCAGTTTGCTCGCCTCCTGCGCCACAACTTCAACCGTCACTTCAACAGCAACCGCGCTCCTTTGGGGCTTCACTTCCACGCCTCCTGGCTGAAGAGCAAGAAGGAGTTCAAGGAGGAACTGATCAAGTTTATTGAAGAAATGCTGGCTCGTAACGATGTATACTTCGTAACCAATCTGCAGGTGGTTCAATGGATGCAAAACCCTACTGAACTCAATGGGCTTCGCGACTTCCAAGAATGGAAGGAGAAATGTGATATCAAGGGCCAACCTTATTGCTCTCTCCCCAATTCTTGCGCCTTAAATACCAGGGAACTGCCAGGAGAGACTCTCAGGCTGTTCACCTGCATGGAGTGTCCCAACAACTATCCCTGGATCCTGGACCCTACTGGGGACGGATTTTCAGTTAGGAAATAGTTATTTATTTAAATCACAATCTACGAAAAGACTTTTGTATATAGTTGTATGTTAATTCTCTTCGGTTGGTGAGCGTTTAAAGTGGGTAGCTTGAACGTGTCGCGACAGTTCTTTCAACATATTCT